CGAACGTTCTAATTTCAAATTTTCAACTTTGAACGCGTAGTACAGCAATATGGATAAGAGCACAAGAATGTATCTATACTTTCGCAGATATTAGCAAAATTGCTCACTGCTACTAATATTCGCGCCTCCCCTTAGACTAGTTCACGCCTCCCCAGGGAAAACGCGTCACAGTTTGGAAAACGCTGGAGTATGCGATGCTGCGGGGATTCCTTAATGGATCAAGAGTGAAGCAGTCCGTTTTAATCAAATCTATATATAAATCTATATATATATATATCCGTGGCAAAAGAATCTCCTAAATTGTTACCTCATCTTATCGAAGCAGGCCGATTTTCCCGGTGAAGTAAGATGAGAAAAAGAAGGAGAGAAGTATATCAAATCAAATTAGGAACAGAAATCTGAGTGGAAGAATAAAAATGTGATAATTTTTGAAGTGAGCGAGTTTTACGCACCGGAAGGGCGCCGGAATTAAGGCCATTAGGGCGGACGACGACGCGATTACAAATTGATTTAAATCACTTGCCTTTAATCTGGTTCGCGTATCGGACGAAAAGGGTTCATCAGTAACTCGAGCGTGATCATCTTTTCCAATATTCTCAGGTATCTGAAATTGAAAATACATGTAAATTAATACAAGGAAATCACGTGAAAACTGTAAATCTTTGATGATTACGCTTCTACATTCAATACACTTTTTACATAATCAAAGCTTTCTATAAAGTTGTCCACTTGTCCAAAAACTAAAAAGTAAATAAATAAAATTGCCTGAAAATGTATACAAGGAAATTAACAATGACAATTTCTATTTTAATTTCGGAATGAAAATTTAATGAAATTAATATGAATTTTTGTGTGTGTTTTGAAATAATTCATGTGAAACTGTACAAAGAAGTAAGCATCCTTTTTGTCGAGATCGTTTCCATTCGAGGCACACACTCAATATATAAATACGTGCTGCATTTTTCGTGCATCGCAACACGAAAATAATAAAATTGTATTCACCAAAAAAAAAAGTAATAATCTCCTTTCTAAAATCCCCCTTTTGTGCATCTCAATTTCGTATACGCTTCATATTGAATCCTCTATTGAATTTGAGATTATTTAGTTGCCAATTCCCCAGTCATCGGAGGCGCAGTTGCGACCTATTGAAACACATTCAGTTCGTGGAATCTAATTTTTCTTTTTGCACTTTAAATTTATGATTGCAAGAAAATGTATATTATTATTTTATCGACTATATACTCATTGCATTGTCCATAGTTTCTGTTTTATTTTGTACGTTAAATGTTTCGTTTATTTAGTATAGTTTTCGAGAAATATGCTAAAACGTAATGACATTATTTTAGATTTAAATTTTGCAAAATTTGATAATTAATTATAAGCAGATTATTCTATTGATTATAGTTTTTGAGAAATACACTAAAACGTAAAGGCACTACTTTTACTAAATAAGCGAGTGTACATATGGAAGCAAACAACGATAATAACAATTCCGCCTACTTTTATTCTTCTATTTTTATCGGACTTCGAGGAGAAGAAATCCGCTTCCATCTGCGACGATAAAAATGTACTTTTTTTACGACCGTTTCCCTCGAAAGCTTAATCCTAATCAGTCTGCGAATTCCCCTTTTATTATTGTCCTTTTTTTTTCTTTCCTTCAGGACGCGGCAGAGCGCGAAACTGTGATTAATCGAAATCGCAAATTAATTAAATCAGAAGCGATGGCCTCGAGGGAGAGTGAAAATGAAAACTTGAAAGGACGAACCTGTTTTCGTCCAGTCCACCGTATAATTTAAAAGAATTGCTACGATCTTATTTTTAACAGTCTTTGTAGATGTAAACAATAATAAGTTAATCGGATAGTGTGACCTCAACTCAGTTTGTTATCATTGTAGCTGGTTTCAGTGTTGCGATAACGTTTGTATTCACCACGTGCTTTTCAACAGATCCACGAGGATGTCGTTCAGAAACGCCAGTTTGGATGAGGAGCATCCGCGGAATCTGATTCCTGAATTGTGCAGACAGTTTTATCAGCTGGGATGGGTGACTGGAACCGGAGGTGGCATCAGCATCAAGCACGGAGAACAGATTTACATCGCTCCGTCCGGTGTGCAGAAGGAGCGAATCCTTCCGGAGGACATCTTCGTGCAGGACATCAAGGGCAAGGATCTGGAGCTACCGCCGCCCGAGAAGAAGCTGAAGAAGAGTCAGTGCACTCCGCTGTTCATGTGCGCGTACACCTCGAGGAATGCAGGCGCAGTCATTCACACACACTCCAAATGTAAGATAAGTTTGATATTTTTGCAATTTCTAATCTTGTATGCGAACTATTCAACATCTACGATTATTCAAGTAATGTTGTTTTGTTTATGTCGAGAAATACATTAAAATTTCAGCTGCATACTTTTCAAAAAGATTCTTTAAATAACACAGTAATAGCTTCAAACTATTTACTATATTATTTTACAAAAGAAATACTTAGAAAACTAATACAGATAAGCTTTTTTAACTATTCAACTAATCTTACTAATTTACTAATTAACAAAATTTATATAAGCTAAAGAGTTGTTGTTGTTGTTGTTGCCTAAATTTCAGCTGCTTTATTGGCGACGATGCTGTTCCCTGGAAAGGAATTCAGATGCACCCATTTGGAGATGATCAAAGGAATAAAGAACCAAAAGCTGGGAAGGAACATGCGTTACGATGAAGAACTCGTGGTGCCCATCATCGAGAATACACCATTCGAGGAAGACCTGAAGGACAGATTGGCCGAAACCATAGCTCAGTATCCGGAAACTTGCGCCGTTCTGGTCAGAAGACATGGCGTAACTTGTTTCCAAAATGTGTTGTTGAATGTTGGTCTGTAATTTGAACTATGTTGTAGGTGTACGTCTGGGGCGACACTTGGCAGCAGGCTAAGACCATGACCGAATGTTACGACTACCTCTTCGACGTCGTCGTCCAAATGAAACAGCTCAATCTGGATCCCAGTCTGACGCCGGAGAAGTACGAACTTAAGATACAAAAAAATAAGATCTGAATATAATTTGCAACGATTTTGCTTGTAGATTAGGCTGTAATCTTACAAATAAATTGCATTGCATCATTAGAAACTGAGTTATTTGATAATCCTGAAACTACAAAGATTAATCAACTTTATATGATTATACTTGATGCAAATATTTGCATTTATTACTATTTTTTTGAAAATTCAAATTTGAATTTATTATAGGCAACCAAATTTGCAGCTGCAGATTACCTAATGCCTTCAGAATATGCGCAAACGATGGCACGAACGTCCTGTGCGATGCGATTATTTTTATTTTGATTTTCTTGGTGTGTAAATAGTGCTGTTCTTTATAAACATAAAACTCTGTGATAATCGCTTTTTTGCGTCCGCAGGATTTAACCTTAGAAATTCTTTGACGTCCGCTCGCGGCAATCAAAACAAAATAAAGTGTGGTGCAGTTGGGAAGAGAGGTTTCGCAAATTCTCGTACTTACTAAATTATTCCCTGGGATGAGATGCTGAGACGCTGAGTGACTTCACACAGTTGACAATGGAATCAGAGAGGTTATTGGTTGCTGCTGGGCTGACCGCAGCTGCTGTGGTGGGTGCTTTCGTGTTCTGGGGACCTTCGCAGGGAGCAAGTGGCAGAGGCAGGTTGGCCGGACTGGTGAATCTGGGAAAGACATGTTTCTTGAATGCTATACTGCACGCTCTGGCTGCTTGCCCGCAGTTCGTGATATGGCTGGAGCAGGACAGATTCGCTAAGGAGACTAGTCTGAGATCGACTTTAGCTACAGTGCTATCAGGTATTTAATTGTAATTCAACTTGGATTGTCGATTAATATATTTTATGTTGCAGTTGTGAATGGTACTCATAAATCGGTGCAAGAGACTTATGCTCCTGCCGCTGTTATAAATGCTCTTAAGAGGCTGGGATGGGTGATCCCTGCTGGAGAGCAGGATGCTCACGAGCTGCTCAATGTGATATTGACAACTTTAGATGAGGAGAGCTCAAAGATGGTGAGGAAGGCTGGCTGTTTGTCCGACGCTCTTGGACTGAACGACTTGCTGTCACCGCCTATGGATGAGAGGGGCTGCAGTCCGACTCCTTCAGATTATGACCCCAGAGGTAGCGTAATGTCGCTGAACGATATCGGGCGACCTTTGAGTTTGAACTTCGTCGGTGGACACAGATACAGATGGATCTCGAGATCGTGCAGGTCGTTGCAGATAGCCGGACCTCCTCCACAGCCTTTATCGCATCCGTTCAGCGGCACCTTAACTAGTCAGCTGCGATGCACCGAATGTGGCCACAAGGTAAAAACGAATCTATACTTTCGTGGAGAAACGTTTTATAGCATTGATGATTTCAGTCGAGCGTGCGTTACGACAAATTCGAGAGCCTCTCTTTGGCTCTACCATCAGGAATGGGGGACCTGGGCTACGGCAGGCACAAGTTGCATCAACTTCTGACGAACTTCGTTACCCCGGAGATGATTCCAGACGTGCAATGCGAGAACTGCAACAGGGGCAGAGAGCCCGGACATACCCCAATCCTCTCCAAGCAAATCAAAATTTTGAATTTCGGCAAGGTTTGTTATAACTTTAGCTCATATAAACGCATTTAAATATTAATATAATAGATACTTACATGCATGCATCTCATCAAAGTACTTCATGCAATTAAAGTTGCATAATCTTCCAATTGAAAAATCACTGAAAATTATACAAAATTCAATATAAATATTTGTAAGGGCTGGTTTTTGTTATAGATATTGCCGGGCAATTAACTTCGTAATTACTTTAATCTTTAGAAATCTAGATATTGTTGAAACCGAAAATGGGACTTGTCAAAAGTAGCGTCAGTGCTTTTTCAAATAAATAAGCGAATGTGAAAGCGCGTATTGTTAAAAAAAACAGGTTAACGAATGAAATGAGATAGTTTTACCTGTTTACTAGTAGATGCAGGTGTTAATTAACTTCAAATTGGCTTTAAAACTTGCAAACTTAAGGAGCTCTTCCATTGTTGTAACCGGAAATGAAACTGTTCAACAATGTCGTTGACAATTCAAATTATTGTTTCCCTTAGATGGCGCCACATATTATTATTGGAAATCTTCAAATACAAATTTCTTTGGTTTTCTTAACTGTTTGCAGTTCTTTTGTTTTTCCTGCTTCTTCACTCTAGGAAGAGCATCTACCATGTTTGCAGTTGAAACCGGAAATGAGAATTGCCAAAATTGATGTTTCCGTTTTTAATAAACGAAATAGTTATTTTAAATAAGTTATGAATTAATGTAATGTGATATTTTCAGTTGCCGGTGTGTCTGTGCTTGCATATATCTCGAAACACGTGGCACGGAAGTGGGATTTCGAAGAGGCAGGATTACGTGCAGTTTCCGATGAGGCTGTCCTTAGCAGCATACACCTTCATCCAATCGCAATACAACCGAAGAGTCTCCAATAACGTAAATTAGCGAATCTGCAAACACAATGAGAGTAATGATGAGGTGGTTTTTAGATTTACCAAAGCACAAGTGAGGGCGGAAGTCCTTTGTCGAGCAGCATGCCTCATTCGTGGAACGCCGGTTCTTTGAGCGACAACGGTCAGGATTGGAGGAACGTCTTCCAATTAGCAGCCGTGGTCGTGCATTCTGGAGACGCCCATTCCGGACACTTCGTGACTTATCGTCGTGGAAATCAGACATCGAAGTATATATTAATGAGCAGTTAAAATTTTTTTTTGTTAATTAATGTTAACATTTGCAGATGGTATTACACGTCGGACGTCGAGATTCGCGAGGTGAGCATCGAGGAGGTGCTCCAAGCGACGGCCTACATTTTATTCTACGAGAAGACCACCAACATGGGTGGCATGTTTTAGTCCACACCACTCCAACATTTAGTTGTTATACGTTTAATTATTATTATTTTTTTCGTTTTTCGAATGTGATTCGTGAAAAGAGGATGCATTCCGTCGAATACCTCTGTTACTGCTACGCCTACTCTCTATCTATCTTCGTTACACGTTCGTGCATCAGAGGCAGAAATTCCTTGACCAAAAATGAAAAATATCCTGTACATAAATCGCGTTTGCATTTAACGAAACAAATCCTTTTCTTTATGATGATGATGATTGTAGCATTTTTTTTATTGACGAATTTATTGTACCTCAGGGTGGTTCGAGTTTCCTACAAAAGATAGAGCCAGAATCATTTGCCAGAAGAGAAAGAAAAATAATGTTATTTTTAATTTATTTAACGGAAACGATGCGAAAATAACGATTTTTCGCTTTCTCGCTTGCATAAATTTGTTGGAATTGTTGTAATAATTTGCTGTAATATGAAAACCATATCTGTCTGTCCGTTTCTTCGGTGCGTGCATTTCTATTTTTATAAACCAGGAAGGAATATTTAGAGAAATCTTGTTCATCTGATTCGAAAAAGGGGAAGCGATTATTAACTTAACTTGATTGAAATTATCGATTGTGAGGATTATTATGATGTTGATTGTCTATAATTAATTTATTTAAATTAATAAAATGTCTACAAAAAAATAACACATTCACACCTATTATTACCTTTACGAAACCTACATTTTTTCCTAATTAGTTTATAAGCTTTAATGCCGGTTAAAGTAAAGGCGGTACACGATTGCAGCGCCATCTTTTGATGTATTGAATAATCAAATGGCCAACGATCACCTATCATTGCTTAACTTTTTCGTAAAGTTCACTAATCCTATATGTCAAGTGTAGATGTGTGGAGGATGTATGAGTAAAGCAACGTTTCGTATCTTTCTTTCACCTTTTAATATTGTAATAGTTCACTTACTTCCCTAGCTAATTACATTATGATACAACTTAGCCCAAAACCAGCTAACAAATACAGTCCTACTAACATCGGTAAATCAACTAGTGTTCATTATTTATTAATAGTTTTTTTTTTTTTTGTTCTTTCATCAATTTGCGATTTTTTTTTTGTTCTCTCGAGTATTTCCAATTTACAAAGACATTAAAATAAACAATAATAATAATAGTAATAATAATAATAAACCGACAATCAAAAATATTTATAGTATTAAAGACAGAAAGGCACGGGTAGAAAAAGATTCTCGTATATATACATGTACAATACGCATGCATACAACAATATACACATATATTTGTATAGTTCTTCACGTAGTAACTATACAATTAATATAAGAGACTTAATAACTAGGAAAGCACGTACAAACGAACCGGGAGTAGAGGGAGGAGGAGGATTACAAATGAAATAATTAACGATGTACAGAAATCATAAATTTGCAAGAACGAAATCGAGGGAAGAAAGGGAAGTTTAGAATATGCGAATATATATATATATAGATGTAGAGAAAAATAAAAAGTTGTGAGTGTGTGTTTATGTGTGCGGGGAGGGAGTTGGGGGGTGAGAGTTCACTAATAAAAACTATGAGGGACTAAAATATCACAGACTGCCCCAAAGTTAATACAAAATTTTCTTCTCGTATTTGTTTCATCTTCCATTCCATCAACATCATTATTACTAATTGTTATTACAAGAATACCGTTTATAATTTGTTTTTTCTTTTTTTCTTCTTCTTCAGTTTCATTTACACATATTATTTGTTTTAAATTCCATCGCGTCGTTTCGCTTCCTACGTTAAAACAAAGTGTTATTAAAATATTGTTTGTTTGTTCCTATAGAAACGAGGCTAGAGGCTTCTCAGATTGTCAATTTTTGTTGTTTCCCATGGTTTTGTTGTTGTCGTTATTCTTGTTGTCATCACTTGGAGGAAAATAGAATTCAAATCCGTTCAGTTTTTTTGTTTTGTTTGTTTCGTAAGTAAGAATATTCGAAGAAACTCAGTTTTTTTTGTTCATTTTACGTTAATTGCTAGAGTTTATTTTTTGTTTGCGTCTGTTCCGTCATTTATATAACATCTTGAAGAGCGAGCTTCGCGCGTTTTCTTTTTTAAATTTAATTATCCCAATAAACTTGGTTTTTTGTATTAATAACAAGAGAGTAATTTACTCTACACATTCTATCTAATAATAGTGTACTCTTTTTATTTTCGCTAACGGCGTTACGCGCAAGTCTTCGTTTGTTTCGTAAGTCACTAGAAAAAAATAACTAGGTACCAATTGATGATGATTTTTCTGCTGTGTTTTCTCTTCTGTAGTCTAGATTCGAGTCGCAAAAAAAAAACTCTTTCGCTCTTCGTATTTACAACAAATTAACTAAAGCGTATTGACATTAGTTTCTCCTGCCTTATCGATTACTTTAACGTTAACATACCTAAGAGTTTAATACCTTGTTCATTCTTCTTTTTAATTATTATTCTGCTTTGATACTAGTTTGTTTTTCTTTTAGAAACTAATTGGTGTGTGATTCCTTTCACTCGTCTTTGCCGCCGGAAGCTTCCTCGACGAGGTTCTCCTCGCTGCCGTTGCTCACATCGTAGATGTCGAATTGATTGACCTCTTTCATGTTTTCATCAAGTTTCCGGCGTTCCGTGATGATGCGTTGTACGCTTTCCTGAGAGTCGTGCTTGGGGATTTTCTTCTCGTCCGGAACCAAGAGGAAGGGCGTTTCTTCGCAGACGATTTCCGCTTTCGCGAAGAGGTTTTTCGTGCTTCCGTACATCTTTTGCACAGGTTTCGATTCGTACGGGACGCAGAGAAGATTCTCGTTGATCTTTCGCAGCGGATACTTCTCCTCCGGCTCGATCACCCGAAGCAAACTCTCCGACCGATCGATGCTGATGATGTCGTCCACGTTCGTTTGCAGAAGATTTCTTCCGTTGAATTCGTTATTCTTGTACTCGCGGATGCTGTAGATGTCCGGTGAAGATTCGTCGATGTTCCTGATGTCGTCCAGATTCGAGAGCATTATCGGCTGCTGACTGTGCATCGTCTGCCGCCTCTGCTTCAACGGATTCGGGTCCAAAGATCGCTTAGATCCTGGAGGATTGTACGTGAAATTCGAAGGCAGTGATAGCACCTGAAACCAATACATTATTAACACCTAAATATATAGTTTTTTTATGAGCAAAAAGCGCAAACCTTAGTTAGAGGTTTGGTTTGTGCGCATTCGGAATCCATCTGCAACGCCAGACACAGCTCCCTCCTCTCTTCCATCTCCTGTTTCTCCTGGAACTCCCTTTCCAGTTGATTATCCATGTCCTGTTCATCTTCCAAATGCTTGTGTGATTCCTCCAAATGCTTCATCAACACCTGAGAACATTGAGTAACATCGATTTAGTAAATCTTGAACGTTGAGATTTTTTTTTTATATATATTTATACGTACCGCTACTACAACGTTGACCAAAACAAATTGGGCCATGAGAACGAAGATGACGAAGAAAATTGGAGCAATCACAGGTGATACGCAGCAGTTCTTCACGCAGTCGGCTTCCAGTCCGCAATTCTCTATTCTCAGGGTGTCTTTCATGATGCCGTTCCAGTTATCGCCGGTGGCAATTCGGAACAACGTCAAGAAAGCCATCCCGAAATTGGCAAAATCTGCGTGCTCTCCTAAACCTACAAAAAGGAAAAAAAAAACGTAGAATTATATAATACTTTGATAAGTTTCGATTGTTACCTTGGCACGGATGCTTTTCCGAACATTCCAGCCGACCGAAGAGCTCGACTCCGAGCGCTGCGAAGATGAAAAAGAGGAGGAAGAACAGGAGTCCCAAGTTTCCCACTTGCGGAAGAGCCTGCATCACTGTGTCCAGAAGTGCGCGAATTCCTTTGGCCATCTTGAGGAGCTTCAGGACGCGCGCTATCCTCATCACGCGCATCACTCTCAGCACAGTCGGGTTTATGGGTATTATGTTGCTCTTGAGTTCTTCCAAGATGATTCCCACTACAGATAAGATAACGATGATAACGTCCAGTTGATTCCATTTCTCTTTGAGGTAAAGCTTGAAACCGAGAGCGACCAGTTTCATGATGCTCTCGAGGATGAAGACGGCGGTGAAGAAGTAGTTGAAGATCTTCAGGATGTAGCTGTGCGTATCGTCCATCCGGTACCTCTCCGTCGCCATGGTCACAACGTTCAATCCGATGACGGCGGCGATGGCCAAGTCGAAGTACTTGGAGGTGACCACGTTGTGGATGAACATCCTCCAAGGCGAGTAATTTATGTAGTAAGGCGGTTCGTTCATTTCTGCAACAACATAATTCATTTAACAAATCACCGTTAATTTTATACTGTATTAAAAAGTTTACTTCGTCTGCGTTTTTCCATCTGCAAAGCCCGTTTAGCGGCGCGCCGAACCCTTTCCTCCTTCTCCTGCTCCTCCCTGCACCTGTGGAAATTCTCCACGACGACGCCGACGAACATGTTGAGGACGAAGAAACCCACCAGAAGTATAAACGAAATGAAGTAGAGCAAACGCCATTCCGAGTAGTTGGTTTGCGGCTGCTGATCCACGCCGACAGCATCCAAACCGGTGTACATGATGTTCACCCAGCCGTCTCTCGAGCTCAACACGAAGAGCGACATCAGGGCTTTACCCAGATCGTCGAAATTGTACTTCTGGTTGGTCCAATCGTACCCGCGCGCCTTACAATCCGTCTTGTTCTTTATACCCTTCACGTTATCGCCCTTGCAGAAGTAGAAGGATCCCTTGAACAGTTGCACTCCGAGAATACCGAAGATTATGAAGAACGTGCAGCAAATAAGCACGATGTTGCCGATAGGTCGTAAAGATGATAAAAGCGTTTGAACGACGAGCTTAAGACCTGGCGCTCTGTTGATGACTCGCAACGGTCGTAATGACCGCAACAATCTGAAGACCTAATTAGAGATTTCGTTAGTTTCGATTCGTGTTTGTATTGAATAAACGTACTCTTAAGATTCCGAATATTTTAGGACTCGATTCGCTAATCAGAGACATGAGTAAATCGACGATTGATATGATTACAAGAGATCCATCCATGATGTTCCAACCTGAGGTGAAATAAGCGTCCGGGCCGTAGCACATTCCCCAAGCGACGACCTGCAAAACACTAATTAGATAATGCATTCAGCGTGATCGAAGTACAAAACCTTAACGAACATCTCGACGGTGAAAACGACAGTAAAAACGTCGTTGCTAACCGATAAGAAATGTCTCTCTTTAGAATCCGGAGGAATGTTGGGTCTTTCCATTGCCAATGTGATACAATTGCAAGCGATGAAGAGTAGCACAACGTTATCGAACCACTTCTGATCCACCAGCCAAGTGCAAAGCTTCCGGAATCTATTGTTCGGAGTGAAGATGTACAGAGAGTAATCGTCGCGTTCCTTCATGCATCCTTTGGGTTCCAAGTAGATGAGCAGTCTTCGGAGCTTGTTGAGTTCGGGTTCGGGAGGGTTCTCAACGATCTCGTCCATTTTCACTGGTGGTAAAACTTTCTCCTCCTGCAGAACATTGACCGATTTTGCCTCGAAGCTCTGCTTCCTTGTAACGGTGGGACTATTCAGCTTCGATAGTTGAGCGTTGCACGGGCTTATCTTCGATTGCGAAGAGTTGCTGAGGGAGTTGTGACGGGTGAGAGGTGGCCCTGCGTGTGGATGAAAGCTATTAGTGTTATTACTTTTGACAAGAAACTTATAACACAAACCGTTTGGACTCTTGTTGTTCGGGGTGTCGCGTTGCGTGTCGTTCTGGATGCGGATCGAGGATTGCAGAAGAGAATCGTTGCGAAGACTCGACTAAACAAACAAATTAATTTGTAATTTATGTAAATTTAATGTTATGATTATCCTTACGTGTCTCGAGACGCCGCTTCCGTTGCATTGCGAATGATCCCTGCCGTTATTCAAAGGGATGGCATCGGAATCCGAACCGCTCCTGTTCTTCTTGCGTTTAAGACTCGATTTAGAACCCAACTTCCAGGAGTATTTTCTTTGAATGCGCGCCTTATCCGATGATTTGGGTACGGAGACCTTCTCCGAGAACGTTGTTGTCTTCGATCCGATCCGCTCGTTGTGCATGATGATCTTCGATGGAAACTGCTCCTCCGGTGACTTCTCGAATTGCCTGTAAGTGAGCGGAGGCGGCGACAGACTCGGCGGCTTCAGCAGCTGCAACGAACAAAGTGAACGAGCGTTAAGCTCCAGATGCTCGGTGATAGGTCCGGTAGGTTTAGGTACTGATTTCTGTGTGGATTCAGTGCTACAGGGTGGCGTGTCTGTGGTCGGTGATGGTGACGGTGGTGTCGGGGTCGGGGTGACGCTATATCTGAACTCTGGGAAATCCTCCAGAGTGGTGCTCGGTGAATCTTGAGGGGTGGCTGCGGTGTGCGTGATCTTGGGCGTTTGGAACTTGCGCTTGCTGGGTGACGGTGTCGTGTCTTGCTTAAGCATTTTCGATTCTTTCTGTATGTTGCATTTGGGCTCCGAGTCCGGAGACTTGAATTCGCGGCAGTCGCACGGCGGCGTGAACGCAATGACCGAAGCCCTGTGACCGTTCATCTCCTTCACCTTCCTCAGCTCCTCCGCAGATCTCCAACAGTTCTTCCCTCCCTGCAGCAAATACAGCAAATTAACTTTACGATTCTTATTGAATTATGTAATTGATTAATTGAAGAAAATGTGATGAGTTCGCTTATTTAGAATGATAATTTTCTTACTTGATGGTAACTGGAGCTCGAACTGGAAATGGACCTGCTGCTCTCCTCTGAACTATCCCTATAGCTGGACTCCATCATCGACATCTTCCTCCTGGCCATCTCGCGCTGCTCCTTCTCTCGCCTCTCGTTTCGTTCCGAACTGAAACCCTCCACCAGGATAGCGACGAGCAGATTGAAGAGCACGTAATTCCCGAAAGTCATCAAAGCGACAAAGTAAAGAGCGGCCCAATGCGACGTCTTCGCCATCCCGTTGGAAAGCACCATATTCCAATCCTCCTGCGTCAGGATCTAAGGACCAGAAACACGTATCAATCGATCCCAAAACAAAATCCGAGTGTTTTCTTTTTAGATGTTAAATTTAGTTGATTATTAAATATTGATTATGTAAAATGGTTCGTGAATATATATTTCATGTACATATATACACATTTTTTTTCTTGTTGTTTGTTTGCAAATATTATTTTTTTTTTTTTTGGTTAGCGAAAACGATAGGAATGAACGAACAGAAATAAAATAAAATGTGTGGATCTTACTTGAAAGACGGTGACCGTGGCCCAGAGGAAGTTGTTGAAGTGTTTTCTGTCACATTCACACCGCTTGTCGTGCTTGGCGATCATTTCACAATTACACTCTCTACTTACACCGTCTGCATCGGTGTACTTGCAAAACTTACCGCCAAATAAGTACATGCCAAGAATGCTGTTAACATCAGACACGAGTTATAGAGATAATCAAGCATATAACACAATATACACAAAGAAAAGAAAAAAACCCTTTAAGACTTATTATATAATAGTAATTGGTAATGCATCAGAAAACGCGAAAGATAAAGAGAGAGAGAAAAAGGGGGGTAGGGCCATATCTGCAAGCAGCCAAGCTCATGTATGTTGTGTTATTGTCGGTTCGTTTATCAAACGAAAAATAAAATCTAAATTTTGTAATTAAAAAACTAAGAAAACACGAGGATTGGTAACGAGTTGGGTGCCCCACGTTGGTCACCCAATCTCGTTAACCTTCCTCGAAACCCAGTGCATCCAAAAATCGATTCTGATAATTCCTTTAATTAATCAGTGCACTAACTACTGAATTCATTTACTTAACAAACTACTCGATCGATAAAATGGCTTTAGTTTTTTGTTGTTTTTTCTTTGGAGTTGGGGTTTCTTTCTAAATCTACTCGAATCGATTGGAAAACTAAATTCGAATTCGATTCAGTTTAAGACTTAGTCAAACTACTTCAAAAGAATAATCTGCTACGAACGACAGTAAAAATATTGTTCTTTTCATAAAACGTAAAAAAAAACATCAATCTGAGGGGGGGGGGATCGGAAATCGGTTGATACACACAACTTTTAATTAACGCTCACGTAAATTAAAGAAAAGTTAAGAAAATTATACAACAAAAAAAAGTAATTTAATTTAAAGGGGATTTTCTTTACAAATTTAAGGTGTGTGTGGAGAGACAAAAAGAGAGATAGAGAGAAAAGTGTTAAGTGTTAAATATTTGCAAGCGATATCAAAAAAAAAAAACAAATAAAGGAAATCAGGCGTAAGTTAAAATTCGCATCAAAGCCGCTAAACCTCGAATGAGGACTAAATCAAAAGTTACGTAAACAGTTTTGGATTAGAAAATGAGAATTTTAACTTTTTTTACGAGATGCAACTTAATTATAGTCATTTCCCATTTAAGATTAAGATTTAGTAAGTAAGTGAATTGGCGAGTGTTCAAAGTGATTTAGATTTAGTGCATGCATCGTGATTATATATATATATATATAATAAATATTATATAAAAAAAAAGTAGCAGAAAAAGAAACGAAGTGAGTACAGAAGGAGAAAGCGTAGATCGATAAAATTAGTTAATTATTTTCTTCGTTAGTTACAAACTATTCATTCAAACTTACATTATTTTTTTCACAACTTATTATATTGATTTTTTTTTGCTAATATTTCTTTTCTTTTCTGTTACGTTTTCGGGTGGATTTCAAAAGAAAAATCGTCATTTCCCAAACCAAATTTCGAACGGAAAAATCGAAAGAAAAGATAAAAAAAAAAACAAACGAATAAACAAAAAAAGAAAACGAAAAAACGAAACACGAACGGAAAATTGAAACCATACATACCTTACGGAAAAAGAAAACAGTTTTATATACAGGTTTGTTTTTCTTGATTGTACTTTGTCTATTTTTTTTTCAAATCTGGGCAACGTGACTGAATGAGATGTGTATATGTAGTAATTAATTACTCAAAATTGTTTCAGGTTATATAGCAAAGGTTAATAATATCAACTCGCTACTTGATGGATGAGAATTCGAAATAAATAAATAATAATTGGGATGTCTTTTTTTTTTGTTTGTTTTTGGTATATATGTGCGAAAAAGTCGCAACGTTTGGAGACAAATTTCAGTTCTGAGCATTCGCTGAAAGCTTTTATTACTGAAAACTTAAGAAAATCAGAAAATATTTTGTAATTCTCAACTAAACTAATATCAGTCTCTTACGTTGCAATTGAACATTTTCGCAGTGGTGAGTACGTAACTTTTTTTTAGTAAATTCTGTAGTATTTTTTAGTATTTTTGTTATTTTTTTTTTGAGAACAAAAAATTGAAAATACCTGAAAAACGGTAACTAGGGCCCACAAAAGCGAGTCAAAATTTTTCCTATCTTTGCCGTCCTCGGTCATTTCGTCATGAAACTTGCAACCGAACAGATTCATACCCAAGATGCTAGAAAAACAAGCCCCGTCATATAAATTACTTGAGGAAACAAAATTACAGAGAAACAGTTCACAAAGTTTTTAAAACCACATGTAGAAACGAAAACGTAAAAAAAAAACGAGAGAGAGAGAAAAAAAAAACATACAAATTTGATTTGGAATAATAGAATAAACTAATTAGTTTTGTATATGCATGTTTCTTTTTGTTGTTTGCTGTACATTCATTTTCCATCTTCTTTTGTTCTGTGATTCGTATTCAATTATTTATTTTTTTTTTCGAGTAATGAGAGAAAATCGATTTGTTTAAATCAAACTGTGAGGATTTTATTGTTTTTTTGTAGCGTAAAAAATAAAGAATCGGTGATTGAAACATACGAAGATTAAGAGAAAATTTTGTAACAATAGAAAATGTGAGGTAAATTTTGTTGGTGCCATTAACGTGTGCAAATCGAGTAGTCGCTGTACAAAACGAAAACAAAAGAGAGAAATAGAGAGAGAGAAACACAGAAAACAATAGTAGATTGAAAACAAATTGGAGATAATTGAAATGCAAAACAAAACCAAACAAATTATAGAAATATACACGTATTAAAAAAAAAACGTCTCGTGTGGATTCGGTGTGTGCGTTTAAATTGGAAACAAATCAAATTCAAACTGAAAATAATTAAATAAAGTATCATGAAGTATATATATATAAGAGTGAAGAGTACATATGTAGAGATAAAGAGAAAGAGAGAAATAGAGTATAATAAACGATGTGGTGAAAGAGTGAGTTCATATTTCATATGTAATAAATAAATATAGTTTTTTCTTTTTAAACAATTTGAAATGTCTGGCGTGGAGGGTGAGAAAGTATAGAAACGAAATTTGTAATTAAAAAAGAATTAAAATTAATAAATTTAGAAAAAAAATAATAACAAAAACCAAAAAAAATGTTAATATTTCTGCGTGTGTATTCAAACAAAGACATATTTAATGATAATACTTGCAAGTTGTCATAGCAACAAAAACAATTATAATTTGTATTTTCAGTTTGAGACAGTGACAGTTATTAAATGACAATCAACTGTCAAAGTTAAGGGTTAAAGTGAATCCTTAAGTTTTTTTTTATTATTACAAAAAATATAAATTTTTTTTTGATAAATTGCTTAATTAAAAATTAAGCGTTGATGTGACAATATTTCTTTAAAAAACTATAGAATTTAAAGAAAATGACACATTGAAAGTCACTTTGAGGTTTCCTCTAATCAATTGCGTTGATGACATTAAATAATTGTCTTTGTTTGTATCCGTTAATCTGGAAATGATGTGTTCCGATAATTAATCTGAAGAGATGTCTCGCGATTCGGCGGTGGATTCGTCGTGCAAAGTTTGCAGATCCTTGAGGACGCGATTGATTTCACACAATTTCGAAACGAAACATTAACTCCGCAACGATTGAATTCAATTAGACGTCTTCCATTCGGTGACATTAATTACCCTTTCGCGCGAAATTTGGTGATTCGGCGGTGATTTATTATGAATGTAAATTTCTCTCTCGAGAGAATGAGAGTTGTATAGAGAAAGAGAGGTTTTAATATGAAAGAGGAATCTCCCATTTATTTGGGTGAATTCTCATAATGAAGGCGCGTCACGTCCTTGCTGGATCTGCATAATTGCCCTTAGCCCAATAAGAAATTCGTTGTCGTCGGAGAACGAAAATAATAATAATAACGAACATAAAATAAACTGAAAACACGAGGGGACAAATATATATATATAAGTAAGTAAAACCGCGAGTTCGTAAAGTTAAAGCGAATTTGTTGTTGAAATGTTTGCGCTTACCTAAATATGAATATGAAGAGGATGAGGAGAGAGAAGAAGATGGCCACGTTGTCCATGGTTCGTAGCATCACGAACAACTGTCTCCTGAGGTTAGGCATGAATCTGACGAGTTTCAGGATTCTTAAGAGGCGGAAAGTGCGGAGCACCGAGAGACCGGAATCTGCCTGCATGTCTCCGGTGTACTTTTGGAAGAGTTCGATGGCGCTGAATTTGTTTAAAAAAAATTAAATTAAGTTTGTAAGTTTTTTTTTTGATGTTACTTACCTTAAGATTACGATAACTCCGTCGAAGACGTTGAAGCCGTTCGAGATGTATCCGAAGGGACCTTCGGAAATGACCTTGAGCAGCATCTCCACAGCGAAGATCGCCGAGAAGATGATGTTGCTCACCTCGACGGCGTAGGTGAGATGATCGGGCTGGTTGTGGTACTCGATGCCCATTGACGAGGTGTTGATCAGGATGGCAAGGAGGATGCCCTGCTGAAAGTACTTGTTCTCCACCAGAAGTTTGACGTACCTTCGCGCCGTGCTGAAGAACCTGATGATGCCTTTGATGGTGGTGCAGACGACGACGTAGCATTTCGAACGTTTCGCGTTTTTGTACTCGGATTCGCAGTGCCACATGTCCTGGCAGCAGGTGTAATCATCGTCGGAGAGTTGCTGCACGTACAACTCGTCACCGTTCTTAGGTTTGGGTCCTTTCGACAGGGAGCTGAAGAAGGTGTCCAAGGCGTGACCGGTCGGAAGCGCAGCGTTTATACCGCCGAGTGCGAGCAGCTCCTGGCACGTCATTGTTTCGCCGTTGATGAGGTCGCCGTAATCCTGCGTCACCTGCTGCTGGCTCTGCAGGATCTGCTGTGGACTCGGTATAGTCGTGATCTGCCAAATGTTTCCATCGCCTATAATAAAGAAACAAAAAGTGATTATGACAAAATATATTTGTTTTTTGTTGATACAAAAATATTCTTTCTTGTTTCCGATTCTATTATTTAGTGTATTGATCTTGAAATGAAGAGGAGATGAGTTCGAGAGGATGATGAAGAAGTAGTTGTGGATGGAGGAAGAAAAAAAAAAGGAAATAATTCTGAAGGGAGTGGATTTAGGATCAAATTGATTCGTATATATCGAGTGAGCAGGGGATGGCAGGGGTGCGGAACAAGGGTAGTAGCGTTTTCGGTGCAGCTCTGAGCCACTTACAAGATCGAACGCTTTTAATCTTAAGCCGACTCGAGGAGCACTTTAACAACCGTGGAACAAGGCTTTGGACCCGTTCTTCTCTTTTTTCTCTCCCCATTTATTTTTCCATCCCTCTTGGGGGGTAAAAACGAAAAAAAAAACAACGGTAGGCCAGGGCGAAAACAATGAACGATCGTGTGTATATATATATGTAATCGGAAACGGAAACGACATAATAATCATAAATACTGGATAAATGGGAAGTAGAGGAAGAAGGGAAGAGACATGCTTTTCGGATGGTTCAACAGGTTTTTTATTTGCTCCCATTTTTTTTTACTTCTTGTACTTCTGGCTTTTCCGCAGTTACAGGAAAAAAAATGAGAGGGAATAAAACGTAATGATTCGATAAAGTTAAATTGTTCGTCTTGATCAGTTTCAATAAAGAATCTTTGTATTTCATCATTCATTATAACTAAATTATATCATTAAATGCATCAAAGATTAATTAATGAAATACTAATTAAAGGAATTTGTTGCAATTGTTATATTGCATTACACTTAAATTAATATCTCACTACATTTCGCTAATTTATAGTAATTAAGGTATTGAAAAATGAAAAATAAAGTTCAATTGTTCGTCTTGATGACTTGATCAGTTTCAATAAAGAGTATTTAATCATTCATTATTATAACTAAATTATATCATTAAATGCATCAAAGATTAATTAATGAAATACTAATTAAAGGAATTTGTTGCTCACCACAATTTGCTAATTTATAGTAATTAAAGTTTTGAAAAATGGAAAATAAGGTTAGATTCAATTTTACCTGTTTGAGTCATCTTCTCGCTGGAGCAAACGTTCTTCTTATCCAGACAGATGTTGGCGCTTGCTGAGAGCAGATTCGAGGATGGATTCGAGGTCAGAGGTGAATCTTCGCCGTGTCGCACGACGACATCGCTGAACATCACCGAAGATCTCCTTCTGTTGTTCTGCGGAAGCGGCGGTGACAGCAGATTCCCGGACAGCTGAAAAACAATCATAAAGAATTTGATGAAGAGGTGAGAAAGTGTGCGCTTGGTAGATGCGGGGCCGTGTGTTATTGATTCATCTCTTCACCTCGTTGTTGCTGTTGGTGGTTATATCCTGGTTGGAGATCGATGAGACCCGCAACAGGCTGGGTCGTTTCGGCATCATCTGACTACCACCGCAGCCGCCTCCGATCGTCGTCTGCTCCTGTTCCTCGCTCATCGTGATCGAACTCGTCCTGGATACACCCTGATGCGTGTTTGGCACTAATTGCGACTGCAACGAAACTACATGAAAATCCATCGATTAGAGAAATACCCGATCCGTATACTAACGACGTGTCTGAGTCGCGGACAGCACGGGTGGTGTCTCTTGTTGTAGTTAAGTCTTATAGTCTCGCCGGCGACGATCTTCCTGTCCCGCCTCTGGTCGCGGCGGTGCTTCAGAAGACGTATCTTCTTGATCAGTCTTCGCTTGCTTCTCCTCCAAAGATGACCGATATACTTTACAATTTCTTAAAACAATAAACAACAAACAATTGATTAGACAAAAGATCAAAAAAACGTTGAAGACTCAAACAACATCAGTCAACAGAAAACACAATTAACACATTGATCAATTCTTCAAAGAAGTTGAAGTTGATTAACTAAAAGATCAAAGAAGTTGATGAGTTAAACAATTTGAAACTCCAGTTGATCAGTCAAAAGATTAATGAATTAGTAGTCTACATTTTAATGCAGTGGACTTGCAGCAGTTCTAAAGATGACCGATATACTTTACAATTTCTTAAAACAATAAACAACAAACAATTGATTAGACAAAAGATCAAAAAAAGTTGAAGACTTAAACAACATCAGTCAACAGAAAACACAATTAACACATTGATCAATTCTTCAAAGAAGTTGAAGTTGATTAACTAAAAGATCAAAGTAGTTGATGAGTTAAACAATTTGAAACTCCAATTGATCAGTCAAAAGATTAATGAATTAGTAGTCTACATTTTAAAGCAGTGGTCTTGCAGCAGCTCTAAAGATGACCGATATACTTTACAATTTCTTAAAACAATAAACAACAAACAATTGATTAGACAACAGATCAAAAAAAGTTGAAGACTCAAACAACATCAGTCAAACAGAAAACACAATTAACACATTGATCAATTCCTCAAAGAAGTTGAAGTTGATTAACTAAAAGATCAAAGAAGTTGATGAGTTAAACAATTTGAAACTCCAATTGATCAGTCAAAAGACTAATGAATTAGTAGTCGACATTTTAAAGCAGTTGACTTGCAAATAGAAAGTTGAAGATCTTGAAAAGTTACCTCCATAACAACTGGTCGGTTCGCTGTTGTTGGTGCTGGAAGCCAGAGTACTAGAACTTTGAAAACGCGCCCTCTCCAACCTCATCCTCTCCATCTCTCTCTTCTTCGTCTCGGAAAACTGCGTCGCGATTACCACCAAGCACAGATTGATCATGAAGAACGATCCGATCTGAAAACACATCATTAGACTCCCTCGAATTGATGATTTAATGAAAGTACTTACGACAATCAGAAGGACGAAATAGATCCAATCCCAAAAACTGTGTCCGTCCTGCACGTAATACATGATATCCGTCCAACCCTCCAACGATATAACGAGAAAAATCGCGATCCAAGCCAACCCGATGTTATCGAACGATATCGTACCCTGAAACGGATTCGATCCGCTGTCGTTGCACGTCGTGTAGTACTGGTTCCAATTGATGCAGCCCGCCTTCTTCTCGAAATGCTTCTCCTCGTACGTCAAATTGCATTTCATCTTGCCCTCCTTGTACAGCGGTATATCCTTGCAGAAATGCATACCGGAGTGCTCCGATTTGCTGCAGATGTAGTCCTGATCCGAGGAGATCGAATAGTACAGCGACAGATCCCTGCAACGAACAACATCAGATCCGAACCACAGCAAACATCTACTTATTTTTTTTGTACATTTTTTCTTTGCTGAAAAGCGCAACATCCTTCTTTCTATCTCAATTAATTAAGCGAAATCTCCGCGACGGATTAAGTGGATCGCTAATTACAATCTGACGCAGAGCGCCGCTATTCTCTCTTCGTGTTTCGATATAATTTAATTAAATATTTTCTTCTCAACGCGAAATTTTATCCTTTAATTAAATCAATTTTACAACTAGTTAGAGTACATTAACTATTATTTCTTAAATTTGAAAGATTTTCTTCATTACTGATTAATTATAAAAGAATATTAAATTATCTATTTGAGAGTCTGTAGGAAAGAAAGTTGTTTCGTTTTACGACTTTTTTTTTGCTTGCTAGTACATTGAGAGACACAATACAATATACACTAAAATCGAACACTGATGATTATATTTGTGATATTTTTTTTTAGTATTTCTTGATTAACGTGGTCGATGTATTATTACATCAGATGAAAATGTTAAAATATGTAATGGATGCAATAACGAGATCATGCAGATTACAATCAAAAGAAGAAAAAAATAATAATTGAACATCGACTAGACGTGCAAACTTAACTAATTGAAGGGATGCAAAGAATGTGTTTTGCGTGCGTCGAAATTGAATACCGAAAATTCGCATTTGGGATTTCCATCCTCCGGTTAAGTAATTCGTAAAGTCGATGATACGTTAATTGCGAGGGAAAGTTAGAGTCAGATGAATGTGAGAATGGTTTTGGAAAGCGAGACGGGTATTCCCAAAACGGTGTACATTCACGCCTCGGCGACAAAAGGGAATTCCATTAAACGGCCGACAATAGGGAAATTATCCGCTCCCTCTGGTGGTGGTGGTTAAATTCCGTACCTTTTTGACCTTTCTCGAAACGTCGTATTAACGTGGAAAAGTTTGTTATTTTTTTCTTTTTTGGGGGAGAAATTATCGTCTACTTATAAAAGATTGAGAAAATAATAAAAAAAAGTTTCATAAATTTATGTGCGTAACGCGTTTAATTTCCTGCTCGAGACGTGAACTTTTTCCTTGATACGAATGATAAGCCTCGAGAAAAGAAACGTATTAAAATTGAAGAAAATAAAATATGAAAAATTCATTTAATTTTTTTTTGATATTTTTGCTAAAGTTTATTAATTATACGAATATTTTTTTGATAAAAATAGAAGATGTAGATTTAAATCATAGATATGTTGATGTAATTGTAATTTTTACGATTTTCTTTTTCCTCCATTTTGTTGTTCTATTGAGGTTAAGTCATTATTTACTTGACAGATGTACAGTGTCAATGATTATTTTTTTTAACTGAAATATATATAATGTATAATGAAACGAAGTCCAAATTAATCATTTTACGTAATTTTATAACTTTAAAAAGTATATAAATAATTAATAAAGGTTAAGCAATGTAAATTTGACCTAAATCTTGTGAAAAATAGAATGGTTTAACGTCTACGATAAATGTCATAAAAGTAGCGTTACGACTTTGTTCCTATTAAGGTTATGTCACTTTTTGTTTGACAGATGTACAGCGTCAATCAATAAATTTCATAGAATAACAAAATATAATTAAGATTTTTTGATAAAAAAGAAGATGTAGATTTAAATCATAGATATGTTGATGTAATTGTAATTTTTTTTTACAGATTTTCATGTAATTCATGTAAAAAAACGTGTGATAAAAGTGTAATGAAAGAATTGATCTAATAGTTTATTTGTTGTACGTAAAATTTCTCATTTCTTGTTTGATATGTAACAAAAGTTTTAGTTCAAAAAGCAAGATTTTCCATACTGAAATTTTGAAAAAAAGAAGTTAGTAATTATATAAATAAAACTTTAGTTAACATTTGAATGATAAAAGTTTTCTTAAGAAAAGAAACTAAATATTTTAAGTTGAATTTGCTAAAACTATTTGTTTACTTATAACTGAAAAGAACACAACTGAAGTTACAGAGAGAAAACAATAACATAATAAGCTTTAGCTGAACAAATTACTGAACTATACACAGTTCACTAATTCGTTGTTTGTTGCTTTGCGGTTTCAAGAGAAACGTAGCAAAATTTCTCTCGCTCTAAGTCGAGTTTTCCCTTAGTTTCTCAACTTATATAGTGTGTATATAGTTCGACGTTGCTCAACAAGAAGCTTCGTGCAAAAGCGAATGAATGCCTCTTAATTAAAAAGAAAATAAGGAAAGAAAAAATAAAACTTTTGTCCGTTGAATCGGAATAAATTGCGAACGAAATAATTATTTTCATCCCCCGTACAATTTTCTCAATTCAAAAACCTCCACATTTCACGCAAACAACAGTCCTTTGTAACATCATCAGTACCTTTCCTGCTTGGAAAAGAAGAGATTAGCAGCGGGATTTAACTAAACGCAATTGTGAGCCGTAATCTTTCCGCGCGGATAAACCCTAACGAAGACGACGTTGAAGCTACTGCTACTACATTTATTTATTTAAATATATACAGAGACACAAACAGTGTGGCTTTAACTGTGCATTAAAAACGTTTATTTCGTCGTGAAATTGAGAACGGCTGTAACCATTTAAAACTACAATTTTTATTTCCCCTCTGTCCACGAATTGAATTATTTCGACTCGATTAATTCAAGAAGCCCTTGAGAAACGCACAAAAGAAACAAAAATCGATTGTTTTTTTTTTCGTATAAAAAAAAGAAAGGGTGATTGAATAAACATCCCTGTCTTTTGTTGTATTAATACCAATATATTAAGGGTTCTCTTCATCGAATATTCTAGCTTTTCGTATAAAGAAAGAATTGTTGATTCATAAATTACAGTTTTCGTTGATTTATTAAAGGTTTTCATTGAATTATCACAACAAACCCCGGCGCATCCACATTTACTTTTGTTTCATTATAAAACAAATACAAAGTTTTCTTTTTACTGGATAACTTTTAACGTAAAACTTAACAAAACTAAAAATGTTTGCATTATTGATAAGTTGTAAAAGTTAATCAATGCAAATTTATAAGAAAGGTGACCGAGAATGTTTAAAACATGCTAAATATTTTGTCATAAAAGAAACGTTACGATTTTATTTTACTTGTTCTATTGAGGTTAAGTCATTTTTTAATTGACAGATGTACAGTGTCAATGATTATATTTTTTAACTGAAATATATATAGTGTATAATGAAAAGAAGTCCAAATTAATCATTTTACGTAATTTTATAACTTTAAAAAAGTAAATAAATCATTAATAAAAGTTAAATAATGTAAATTTGACCTAAATCTTGTGAAAAATGGAATGGTTTAACGTCTACGATAAATGTCATAAAAGTAGCGTTACGACTTTGTTTCACCGCCATTCCTTTCCTATTAAGATTATGTCATTTTCAGTTTGACAGATGTAGAGTGTCAATCAATAAATTTCATAGAATAAAAAAATATAATTAATAAAACATTCCTAAATTACATAATTTTACATATTTCTATCACTTTTTTATATATACATATATTTAGAAAAGCAACGTTTTCTTGTGAAAAATGGAATGGTCTACGATCTACGATACGTCTACGTCTACGATAAATGTCATAAAAGTAGCGTTACGACTTTGTTTCACCGCCATTCCTTTCCTATTAAGGTTATGTCATTTTCAGTTTGACAGATGTACAGTGTCAATCAATAAATTTCATAGAATAACAAAATATAATTATTAAAACATTCCTAAATTACATAATTTTACATATTTCTATCACTTTTTTATATATACAAATATTGAGAAAAGCAACGTTTCATCATAATAAGGAACAAATGATCCTTTTCATACGTTTTGCCCCCTGACGTTTATGTCTTCAATTCTCGTTACCTAACCCAACAGAAAAAAAAATAACAATTTACAAACACGTATTCATACATATACATTTTTTTTTGTTTCTTTCCATTAAGTTGGGAACATTGAAAGTAATGTTGTTTGCCGCAATGAACATAACAACTAACAACGTGTGTTATACTCATTTTTTATATTGCATAAAAAAAAACAATTTCTACGCCTGAAGGCACGAGAATCGTTTGCAATGCGCATCAAGAGAAACGTTTTTCCTAGCTATTTTTCGTGTTTTCCGAGTGGAGAAATGGTAATGAAGCGGAATTAACGAATGCGACGTGCGAATTATTTACTGTCCGAAGACACGGCCACAATTACCACTTCCTTTGACCGACTTTCCTTGCATGAAATTGTTTTTTTTTTCTTTATTTGTCCGCATTAAAACATGAAATTTATGTTGAATTGCATCAATTTTCACAGCAAAAGACAAGAAAATTGCTATAATCAATATAATTTAAGTATACTTTCAATAATTCTTATTTCATGATTCACTTTTTTGGTGATAAAAAGTGAAGACACTTATTCCATAATTTTAATACCTAATTAGATGAAGACCGTAAACGTAAATAAACAATATTATTACCTCATAAAGTTAAGTTTTCATTTGCATCTCTTTTTCAGTACTTTTTCAAAAAAAGTACATAAAAAAGAATATAATTATAATTTTAACATGAAAATCGATATTTGAATACCAAACATTTGTAGCGTTAATACCGACAATAAAAGCAATTTTGGAGAGTAATTAACGTTACGAAACAACTTCGTTTTAACGCTTATAAACGCACACTTTGTAGTCCGTGCGTAATGCGAAAACATCTAAAGACGTTAACGATTCAATTAAACAAATTTTGTTACGCAACGACGAAAAGTTCACAATGTTGACGAGGGCTTTTTTTTGTTTGTTTATTTCTCCCATTAAAATACGTTTCTTTGCGAAATTTTTATACGGAGACGCGTATAAAAACGAAGGGCCGACCGTAAAACGTTCACCTACGCAAATAAAACTGGATGGAAGAGAAACGAAACGAAAAAAAACGTGTGGAGGAGATGTTAACATGAACTATGTACATATTTTTGCATCCAGCAGTCTGTTTTTCTTCTCCCTTCATTTTTTTTGTATTTATCGACGTTCCCACGTGTTTTCTTCCTGGGGCATTCCGAAAGTGAGCTCATTAAATTCAATAACGCAACGTTGACCTACATTTCTGCTCACATTTCTGCTGCATTTTACAAAAAAACGATTGATTTCATAATGAAATATAAATTATTTTTATATTTGATCAAAACTTTCAATTAATTCATTTTAATTACTTCAATTTAATACGCTTTTAATTTCATATCTACCTAAAAGTAAACTTGTATCAATTAATTAAGAAAAATTAATAAAATTGTAACTTTGATATGTAAATTTCAAATTAATGAATGTTAACAAACAGATCGTTTTCTAATTGAAACACGATATTTGCTCTCGTTTTTAATTGCTGATAGACAAACTCGAACCTAATTGAGCACTGCGTGTGTAACGTTTTAATTCCCGATCCGAGTAGTCTCATCTCAATTTACGTAATCCGTTTGCACGCGAGTCCCCGAAAAGTTACCCAAACTTCGTCGACGAACAATGTCAGTCAGTAAAACCAATTATTAATACGAAACACGCACTTCACAAACAACAAAACACACAAAAGTCGTTTGCAGTTAGAACATCAATTACTGTTAGAAACAGAGATACAGATAGTAAAACAACAGTAGATAGAAAAGAAGAGAGAGATGGATTGAGAACGTATTACTTTTAGTTAGTTTGGATGCGATTAGAAGAATCAACTGGTCGCGATTTTATTTGTGAAGATTTGTTAGAGAAGAAGAGAGTTTACTTTCTTTATTATTATTATTAATTTTGTTTTTTTGGGGTTGCATCACACATTCTTACGTAGCAGGCACGCGAACTTTGTAAACGTCGGAGAAACCTCTGCAACAGAATAAGCCGTGGCTCCATTCAACGAACGATGCTCCGATTTTTGTGGGACAGAAACATCAACAAAAACAACAACAAAAACAAAAGAAAGGGTGGAAACAACATGAGTTTTACACTTGATATGAAACTAGTCTATGTAGTTTTTTTTGTTGTTGTTGAGGGGTGATGGAATTTGGACTTATTCTAGTCTAAAGAGAGAAAGAGAGAGAACACAAGAAACCAAAGTATCATGGAAGAAAAATTAGTTAAACGGGTGACCTTGAAATCGTTTTAAATTTACACAGCCTACTATTATATCAACTCGATTATGTAAGAAACGTCAATGTCAATAATCTGAAATCTAATTGGAATCAAAATTCTATTGATAAATTATTAAATTAACCAAAAAAAAAACTAATTAGGTTTCTTAAAATTGACATAAAACGTTAAATTTATGTTAAATTTAATCTAAATAAATGAGAGCATTTAAGAAAACAGAATCGACAATGCATGGAACAATTGATGATCGAATAATTTTTGAAACAAAGAAATTAAAAGTATTAATTGTGCGATGCAAATATTTCGAATTTGTTTCTTTTGCTTTAATCTTCTGTAAATTCAATTGAAATTATACATTTATTTATAGTTGAGGTCAAAAGTCCATTTTGTGAAGGCAAAAGTAAAATCATCGTTCTTTCAATATGAAGAAATATCAAAGTATTATCAAAATTGTTAATAAATTAGATTTAGTGATGAAAAAAATATAAGAAATTAACATTTTTAGAAATGCTTACTAACTGGTAGAGGTAAAGCGTTTTCTTTTTAAATTATTGAAGTGAACATTTAAGTAAAATTATTCTGAGCTCGAGGAAAGCTTTGCTGCTGCTCCATCAAAGGAAATGACTAATGATAACCCAAAAGGGGTCCTCGACCTTTCGCTCTTCAAATTCCGTTAGTTCCAAAAGCGGAAAACCACCTCAAGACGTTGCCTTATTCATAACCTCCGGTTCGGCGCATTCATCTTTAATTAATAGATTAAATTACCTTAAAGACAGCATTTATTAAATGTCGATAAAGTGAGAAGGCGAAGAAACGTTGCACTTTCGAAGATTACAGCAAGTTTAATGAAGATTTTCCGGTTTGTTTTTATATCGTGAAAGAACTTTATATAATTCCGATAGATGTCAGCACAATTTACTATTTAATAACTTTAGACAATTGCAATAATTTTCACATTAAAATCTAGTAAGTTTAATTAACTTACAATTGTTTCATTAGAAAAATAACAGAAAACAATTTTAACCATTTTCTGACGAAGAATTTGCAATTTGCTGAGCAAAATATTGTGTATTATTGATAAGGCGAATATATCCGCCGCTCGTTCGAAAATTATAAAATTTTATATAATAGAAGAAATATTAAGTTTAGAAAATTGCAATAGATGTCGCATTAAAGTAAAGTAATTTAATTTAAATTACTGCAACAATTACATTAAGTGTCAGTTTTTAATGAAAAAAAGAAGTTATTTCTGGTATGAAATATTTCAAATGAAAGTAAATAAAAAAAAAAACTAGTCAATACTAACTAATTTCCATTTGAAACTGTTGTGCAACGAATTTTGATGAGGATTATTGTAGCGTGCAACAATAACGTTAAATATTGACGGAGTGCTTCATCGATGCTCAAAATATTGTGTCAGAAATTATATAATTTTTTCTCTCTCTCTTTTCTCTTGTCCTGCTGCACGCATTTTGCACGCACTTCATCTCACTCACTCTCTCTATAACATTCTGCTCCATCCGTGCGCGAGTCGAGCGAACGCGCGCTGTCCGCATATATTTTGTAATATAAATATACACAGGAGATCCCATAAATATTTGCCTTCCGCATAAATCAATCAATACACCGAGATAGGGCTTCATTAGGTTTCGTACAGCAATAACCAAACACGAAAATACACTTTGCAAAATATAAATTAAAAAGAACGATGATTTTACTTTAGTTCTGTTGGGACTTTTGACTTGCTTTTAAATCATATATTTAAACATATTTTTTTTTATATAAATTTTATGTGAAAGTAATGTTAATTCGTTTGCACTCACTTTGGGAATGTAATGTTGATGTCGGTGTTTATGTAACACCTCTGTCGCAGGATTCCTTGCCACAACTGCACTCCGATGATTCCGAATATGAAGAAGACGAAAAAGCAGAGTAGTAGGACGTTACCCAGCATTGGTAAAGTGTCCAATAGAAGCATCACCAAAATCCTCATACCTATGAAACGAACAAAAAAAACAAATCATTGAAACAAAGTTTTCTTTCACATTCATCAACTTCACTCATTTAGTTAAGATTTATGTTAGAAAATACTAATTAAATGCAAAATCAATTAATAAATCATCCATTCAAATATTATCTTCAATTGTCATTGCTTAAATTATTTTATTAAACAAAGTTGAAACGCAACATTAATTTCTTCATAAGGTTCCATCAACTATACTTTTTAACATTGGAATAGTTAAAATTTCAATTAACAAATCATCTGTTCAAATATTATCTTGTATTCACATTGCTTAACTTTATTAAACAAAGTTGAAATGCAACATTAATTTCTTTGTAAAATCCCATCAAATTTACTTTTAAAAATTTCAATTATTAAATCATCTATTCAATATTGTCTTGACCAAACATTGCTTAACTTTATTAAACAAAGTTGAAACGTAACATTAATTTCTTCATAAAGTTCCATCAACTTCAATTTTTAACATAGGAATAGTTAAAATTTCATAAATCAAATCACCTATTCCAATCTTAACTTCAACACATATTGCTTAACTTTATTAAACAAAGTTGAAACGTAACATTAATGTCTTCAGAAAGTCCCATCAACTTTACTTTTTACCATAGGAATAGTTAAAATTTCAATTAACAAATCATCCATTAAAATATTATCTTCAATTGTCATTGCTTAACTTTATTAATCAAAGTTGAAACGCAACATTAAATTCTTCATAAAATCCCATCAACTTTACTTTTTACTATTGGAATAGTTAAAATTTCATTTAACAAATCATCCATTCAAATATTATCTTCAATTGTCATTGCTTAACTTTATTGAAGAAAGTTGAAACGCAACATTAATCTCTTCATAAAGTACCATCAACTTTACTTTTTACATTGAATAGTTAAAATTTCAATTAACAAATCATCCATTCAAATATTATCTTCAATTGTCATTGCTTAACTTTATTAAACAAAGTTGAAACGCGACATTAAATTATTCATAAAATCCCATCAACTTTACTTTTTACTATAAGAATAGTTAAAATTTCAATTAACAAATCATCAATTCAAATATTATCGTCAATTGTCATTGTTTAACTTTATTGAACAAAGTTGAAACGTAACATTAAATTCTTCATAAAATCCCATCAAATTTACTTTTTAACATTGAAATACTCACAAATTCAATTCAATTCAAATATTATCATCAAAGAACGTTGCTTAACTTTATTAAACAAAGAAGAAACGCGACATCCGGGTTTGACAAAAACCTAAATTTAATACAAAATCATCTCTTTTACTTTTTTCTTTTGGTAAACACGAAGCGAAAATTAATATCTGCGTCTGTCGCGCCAAGTCGACAGAATTAATTCCGAGATAATTGAGATTTTCCGTGTTGCCTTTTCATATTTCATATATATATATTTTTTTGTATATAATTCTGCTACGTTAAGAGAATTGGGAAACGAGAGGAAGCAAAGAAAAACTTTTAAGGAGAAAGAGGAAATGAGGGTAGAATAATAAAAAATAATAAGAATCATTTCATGAGTGAAAAGAAAAGTAAATGAACTGAAACGCGGCCAATTTTAATTAAATAATCTTAATTTTGGAAAGTTTATGTACATTTTTTGTTTTAAATTTTTATAATTAATATAATACTTTGATGGTGGCGGATATTAAAAGTTTCGGAAAAGTCGAATAATTTAATTAATAAAGTTCGTACATGAATTATGGAAATTTAAGTAAGTAAAGATTGCCATGAAAATCTTTGTTTATATAAAAAAACAAAATTAATTCATGGCTTCTGTTGATTTCTAATTTCAATTATTTTTTCTTAGAAATTTTATATATTTAATGAATTTGAAAACTAAACTTTTCATGTTTTTGAGAAATAAATGTAACAATTATTTTCACTGTTTTTTTGCAGTTTTTATGATATGAGTAAAACCACTTTACTTCTAGTGTTAAAGGTGAGATTAACCAAAGTTCAATGGTACAAGAAACTCAATGCGTTTTGGATGTGTGAAGAGAGTGAGAGATTGAGTAAAGGAGAAGTTAACCCGAGCTGGCTTCCAAAAACGACACGAAACGCCTGAAATTGACGAGGGGAAAACGTCTCAAACTAACACGAACTAATTAAGAATATTTAATTAAATCCGCGCCTCTCCTTTACTCATTCCCATCCAGCATCTCACTCCATCTCAAATACACCTTTCACCTTCTTCATCTGGAAGTAATTAATTTTTTCTCCAGTTAGATCTTAAATTTTTAAAATCTTTAATCTTACTTGAAGATTACAATTTAACCATCAGTTTAATTTACTTAACCGTAGCTTCAAAAGCTATCTCTATCAAGAAGTGTTTAAGAATTTTTCCAGTTGTGTCTTAAATTCGTAAAATCTTAAATCTAAACAAAGTAATACATTTTTTTTTATTATAACCGTCTGTTAATTTTACTTAACCGTAGCTTTATACACGTTTATCAACTGGTTGATCGCATTTCTAATGAAGAAATTAATGTTGCGTTTCAATTTTCTTCAATAAAGTTAAGCAATGATAATTGTAGATAATATTTGAATGGATGATTTATTAATTGAAATTTTAACTATTCCAATGTTAAAAAGTAAAGTTGATGGAACCTTATGAAGAAATTTATGTTTATTTGTATATTTTTTTTTGTAAATCCTAGATCTAAATGAAACATTGTAATAATTTATTTTAACAGTCGGTTTATTTTACTTAACCGCAGCTTCAGACGCGCGAATATTAGCGAAATGTGTGGCAATAAGTTCGAATCGAGGATAAATCGTGGCAATTTATTGCACGCCCCAAATACTCCTTCGGGGATGTTTATTGTCGACTCGAATGGGACGAATACAGATGGCACCACTCAACCCTCCACCCAATAAAAGTTATTTGAAAACCGATTTTCGCGCCATTCAGTGAAGCCTACAATCAAATTTGAATAATCCAATGCCCGGCGCATCCACCACAAAAAATCGTTTCACCCTGTATATTTGACCCATTTACTGGGAAAGCAAAAAAAAACCTTCAACAACAAACCTAAATATAAAAGAAGAAGGATATGAGATCATCATTTATGTGTTTTGAAAAATATGCTCGAGATGACGTTATCCGCAATACAAATTACCATTGGCAAAAACTTGAATTTTTTTGTTTTTGTTGGAGCACAAGTAGTAATAGCGAAGAATATAATTCTGGAGGAGAGAGGCGTGTGAATATGTAAGTGGACTGGAAGTTCGTTACCGCAAATAATAATTAGGAGCAGAGGACATGATTAAAGGAAAACAGCGTGCGTATGAGAGAGAAAGAGACTGAGTTTGCGCTTGAATTAAAATTAAGGTGGAATTTTATTAGACGAAAATAGTGTGACAAAATTAATTAAATTTTCATTGTCTCTTCTCTTCTTTTTTTTTTCTTCCGCACAGCCTCATTATTCGCACTTGACATAATTAAGTTTTATTAAAATGTATGTATGGTGATCTAAAAATAACTTACATAACCTAATTGCACTTTACCTATATATATAACCTCTAATTAGAGTTATATAACATATAGGTTAGAATAATGAAATGTCAATGTAAATTTTAGTGTAACCTGAAATAACGTGGTCATTAATAACAAATGTCTTATGGTTTCTAAGGATACTTTTTAAGTTGCTAATGACGCCTTGTAGTTGCTAAGCACTTTCTAAAGCTGCTTTATAAATACTGTAGTTATTAAATATAACTTATTTTCAACAAGATGAAAATTTTTGAGACAAATTTAATTAATTATAATTGTCTTTTCTTAAAATAAGCAACAAAACCTATCCTAACCTTATTATACTAATGTAAAATATAGGTTACAATATTGAAGTTTCAACTTTAATCTAACCAAAAGTTAAAAGTTTTAATTGTTATATATAAAATTTCACTTAATTAAGTTATAGTAAAATGTATATGTAAGTGTGGTGATCTAAAAATAACTTACATAACCTAATTGCACTTTACCTATATATAACCTCTAATTAGAGTTATATAACATATAGGTTAGAATATTGAAATGTCAATGTAAATTTTAGTGTAACCTGAAATAATGTGGTCATTAATAACAAATGTCTTATGGTTTCTAAGGATACTTTTTAAGTTGCTAATGACGCCTTGTAGTTGCTAAGCACTTTCTAAGGCTACTTTATAAATACTATAGTTACTAAATATAACTTATTTTCAAGAAGATGAAAATACTGTGACAAATTTAATTAATTATTGTCTTTTCTTAAAATAAGCAACAAAACCTATCCTAACCTTATTATACTGATGTCAAATATAGGTTAGAATATTGAAATTTAAACATTAATCTAACCAAAAGTTAAAAGTTTTAATTGTTATATATAAAATTTCACTTAATTAAGTTATAGTAAAATGTATATGTAGGTGTGGTGATCTAAAAATAACTAACATAACTTATCAAACCTAAACTCAGTATGTAATTTTAACTTTAAACTAAATAAGAATTGCAATTAAAAAGTATTTATGTGAATACATTTACACATAATATTTTATCATTTGAGAATTCGATGTTAACATTAGCATACGTATATGGAAGATTTCTGCGAACTGTGCAAATTGAAACGTAATAGGGGAGAGAACGTTTTATCCGAGCGTTCGCAACAAAATTCAGAGAAGAAAACTGTTCTACATTTGTCTTCCACTTCCGCGACAAAAAAAAACCCCTCTCATAAAATATGGAAAACGCGATAAACGCACGAAAGAATAAAATATGTGCGCATAATGGATGTAAAAAAAAAGAAAGAAGGAAACTGAAGTGACGTAAATCAAAAAAGAGAGCAACAAAAACATATAGAAGAAGAAAAAAATGCAACAGACGCTCGTTTATTCCCTACAACCCCTACGCTCTTTTCCATTGAATTTCTTCCCTTGATCACGCGGCTGCAACGGAGCAATCCTCTCGCAGCGTCGCGACGCTTTTCCATCATCAACCAGCGATTACGTTTTCTCAACGATAATCGCAGATTTTCAAATTCATTCATGAAACGGATATAGACAACAAGTTATTGTTGTTGTTTTTGTTGTTATTTCTTTATTTGGTGGAGGTTCGATCATTACGAAACGGCAAATCATTTCCGACCAATCGTTTCCGGTTAAATTTCCGGCCTCGAACGTCGCATGTCCACTGCAAAACGTGTTTCCCTTTTTCTCTCTTTTTCTCGCTTCCGATCGGTTTCCTTTCGAAACAGATAAATCGACGACAACAAGGAGGAAGAAAGTCTTTAATCTCTCGAAGTTTAAGCAACTGGAACTGGAGCAGTTTGTATGATGTCGGAGAGAGAACAAAAAAAAAGAACGTTAACAAACACGACAATAAATTTCTTGATGTTTAATGTAACTGTCTAAGTTATTTGCTTGCTAAACACGCTTTGTAGTAACTAATGACACGCCTTATATTTGATATTAACACCTTGTAGTTACTAAGGACAATTTTTAGTTGCTATTGATGTATTTTGGTTGCTAAGTACGCCTTTTAGTTCCTAAAGAAACATTTGGTTACTAAGGATGATTAATGGCTAATTTGAATGACTGTCATTAACAATTAGTGAATTATTGTTACCAAGGATACCTTAGGATTGCTAAGCACATTTTATGGTTGCTAATGACGCCTTGTATGGTTACTGATGACGCTTTTTAGTTGCTAATGACACCTTGTAGTTGCACTTTCTGAAACATTAGTAATTTCCATGTAAACTGAACGTATTGTGCATTTAAATCCATTAGTATTCCATGAAGCCTTTCGCCGGTATAATTTTAATAATATTGAAGAATCTTTTCAATCGTCCGTGAGAGTTCGCGTTCGCTCGCAAATACGTGACTTGAAGTAGGCTTGACACATATTCCTTGATGTCGGTAATTTAGCTTCAATAATGATCCATTCCATTCGAGACATTTCATGTGGAAGCTGCAGCTCTCATTCATCTTTGGTTTGGTTTAAATTACGTGCACGGACTACAGCATCTACCCTCATCCTCAACCACTGAATTTCTCGTTCAGCACGCTTTGATCACGTACATAATATCAAATTTGAAAACTTTTCAATCAACGTTTTTCTTATACATTTACTATCGTTTCTAAGATGTTCTATTTATATGTACCGGTAATTAATACGTCCTATTTCTACCTGTCTTCGTGGACTTCAAACTTGATGGTTTGCATTGCCGAGGAGTAATTTGTGCACACAAACTCTTTCCATCTCTTCATCGTCGAGTGTCCTCCTCGGCGATGTTTCAACCTAAGTCACCCATACACCTCGAGCACCCACTCAAACCTCTCCTCCGAGCGACACGACAGTTTTCTTCGAGTTTTCATAATAACTTCCGCTTTTTTTTAAACATACAACAACCAAAAAATAGATGCATCCACATCATAAGTAACTACACATCACAGCTGTTATTGGTTTCCATAGTAATCGTTAGATCTATATCACTGAAGTTTCACTGTTATTGATTTCCATGGTAACCAATAGTAATCAAATCTATATGCAAAATCTCAATTTTCGCACTTTTTTTTGCATTTTTTCATTCGATTCTTCAATAATCCATCATTCATATTCAGCATTCATTAACAGCATAATACCACGATCGAAATACATTAAAATTTACATCTAATATCGTTGAATAAACATCATTACTAAAGCCACGATACGTAATAAATCAACGAAATGAAATAAAGCGAAATTTCATCCCACTCTGAAAAAAAAAATCGACGAAATATGTAAATGTAACGAGCTGGATGATTACAATTAAACTCGTAATCCACAAATTTTAATTAAAAAATATTACCCCCCCATTAAACGGACGATTTGTAATGGAAATTTAAGCGAATTGAACGATACATATAAAAAAAAAATGGTTGCGCAATGATCGAAAGGTCAGTCAATTAGCGCGTAATAATTTGCGCGCACGTGCATTGAAACAATTGAATTCGCAGCGATGGAAATTTCCTTATTCAGTGAATACACACATGGTCAAGCATTGTGCGAGTTTGTACAGGTGCGAATGTGTAGGCGGATTATTAATAATTCGATAATTCGGGATGACAAAGAAAATTTAAAAAAAAAATAATCATATTGGATTGGATTGACAATTCTGAATCGACATCATTATTATATTAATGCAAATTGTTTGAAGCAATTTAAATTAGTCGAATTTTAATGCAAAAAACTAATTCGATTTTATATTTGAAATTTGCAAATTGTTTATTTTAACCAGTAAGTACTACGGACGGGTCAGATTGACCCACCTGATATTTGTTTTCATTCGCATTCTATTGTTATTTTAGAAGCAAAGCAATCGTGATTATTGTAGAGTGTAGTTTGGGTCAAAATGACCCGTGTGTTGCAAATACGTTTTCGCAGACTGTTTTGAGCAACTAAGTCAGTTTTAAATGATGTTAAATTTATTAATTAAAAAGAATTAATCTAAATTGGGTCATTTTCACTATTTTATTTATAATATTTTCATAATTCAATAGAATTTATATGAATTTATACTTGACTTTGCATTATTTTTACCTTTTCATACATTGCTCTTTGTGCATATACATTTTTATTTTGTATCGCTGTAAAATTTATACTAGCTTTTGAAAACACATAAATTTCTATAAACATGTTTATCACTAGTATTAAGTAAACTATTACATATTTTCATTGATCTTCAATTAAAAAAATCGTTAATTTCAATTTGCTACCATGTTTTTAATTAAATGTAATTGATGAGAAATTCTTTCTGAAATTTAATTAACAATTATGGTATAAATTGAAAACTTACATAATTTATATTTTTTTATATTTTAAGTTGATTTTAATTAAAATTTTATATAAAAAAATCAACGCAAATTTTGAACGTTAAGTAAACGTTGCATCATTTCACAAATTGCAATCAATTTTAATTGTTTGTTCGCATAATAATTGTGGGTTTAATTCTGCAAAGTCTATATGAGTTCAACTATTATTATTATAAATTGTTAAATTAAATGAATATTTGTTGATTTAAGTTGTTTTCAATTGGAAGAGTTTAAAGGAAATTGATGAAAACTCTTCTCGAACTTCGTGAATTCAGGTCGCTGCGATACTTTTCCTATTCGTTGTAGCGTAATGATGGGGATGACCTAGGCCCTATTATTTTCGACGTCGCGACGCCCCGTGAATCATTTCGAACCGGTGCAACTTTAATGGCCCGTGTTCTTCAGGGGCAAAAATTTCCATTTTAACGACGCATATGCGAAACTTTCTTTCTCTTTTCAAATAAGAAAAAAACAAAAACTTGTACCTATCTCTTTTTTTCTTTATTTCTATCTGCGTTTGTCCTGTCTCCGAAAGGGACAGGTCAATCGTAATGTGATTGGATTAAATCCTGTAATTGGTAGTCTCCATGGAAACAGGGCTTGTTTTCCACGGAGGTACAGGCCATCAATCATATGGGATGCTGGATCGGAGCCACCCTCGATCCAGGATATAATAATATTCACAGACACGTCGTCTCCTACCGTTGTTTAAGGACAGGTTTACCAAAAACCCACTCCCCTCTCATTTCATCATCGATATACGACCGTCCAATTTACATAAACCCATCCTACCTCTCTCTTCCACCCGAATCGATATATTTCAAAAATTAACCCAAGCGAACGCATTTTCCACAAACCACCCTCAGTGCAAATTTGAGAACGTGAGATCCAATAAGCAGATTTAGTTTCTCAACGCAATTAATCATAGAAACTTATTAAAATAGTCGCATAAATCCTACAACCAGATAAGAAGCCCTCTATTCAATTAACGACCGTTCCAAAAAAAAATGAAATACGACGGGGGGATTCCCCGAAAATCACAACAATGAAAAAAAAAATTGGATCAAATACGTTTGGGGGAACATCAATGGAGCGTGGAGCAACAACAAAAAATGAAGGAAAAAAAGATTTCAGTGCTGCCAATAGCCGATTTTCACAGAGATTTTCAGTTCCCAGGAAATGTGTGTTTTATTTTTTTCTATTTTGTCCACGATCGATTTCAGCGAAATGCATTATATTCGCACAATGCGAATAATAATTCACAAACGCCATCTACGTTGTGTTCTTTTTTATTCGTTATTATTATGATTTTCGTTATGCCTTTGCTTTCCTTCTCTCTTTTGTTTCGTTGCAATTCGTTTGTGGCCGTCACCTCCCACGAGTTTTCATAATCAAATTTTCTGTCCCTTTTTCACTCTATTTTTTTTTTTCGGTTTCAATTAAACGCGCACCGGTCGCGATGAAATCAAAGGAAACTGCAGAAAAAAAAACAGTCCAATTATTTACGTAACAAAGAAATCAACGTTCCCGAAATCCAAAAGGAAAATTTCCGTTACGTCGTTTGCATTTGTATTTATCACATGAAAGACTTATTTTTGTAATTGTTATTATGAATTGTCATATTCCCCAACTATCCAGTTTTCATATGAATCTTTTGGATCTATTCTATCTAGTATAGTTATCGAGAAAATCAATAAAATGTGAAAACACTGCTTTTTTTTAAGCGATAATTTTTCATTTTTTGTTCAATTTTGAACGCAAATTGTATAAAATTGGATATAACCACAGTAATGTAAGATGCATTCTACTTAGTATAGTTTTCATCAATTTTAGGACCGTAGTTTAGAAATCTAATGAGAATTCCTATTGAAATCCAATTTTGTTATAATACACGACAGAAGCTAAACAGATATAACAACAGCAATGTATGTAACATTCTGCAATTATCCTAGTTTAGTATGCATCTTTCGTATTCATTCTATCTATTATAGTTTCTTGGATAATCACTAAAATTTTCATCAATAAATATTTCCTCTTGTTAATTGAGTTTCGCTGCGCAAATAGTGGACATATTGTTCCGTCCTTCGTTGAACTTACTTGGAATTCTGTTGATCGCCCTCAGCGGCCGGAGGACCCTTATCGTCCTTATCGCCGACAGGTTTAAGTTCTCGACGTCCAAACAATACTCGAGGCCACCGGCGAGGACGATGAACATGTCCAAACGGTTCCAGGAGTCCGCCAGATACGAACCCTTGCCCCACACGCCCATCGCCACCATTTTTATCATCATCTCCAGCGTGAAGAACAGGAAGATCACGTAATCGAATAACTGCAACATAAAAATCACGGTTACTATATAGTAGACGCACGTTCGCAGCCTGCAGATGCGCAAGTATACATAAATAAGTGCGAAGCGATAAAATAAAACGGGATTGTCGCTGGATCAAATTGGATTTACCTTGTTGAAATGTGACAAAATAAGGGATATATACGTAATAATATTTTATAGCTTAATAAAAGCGTGCACCAATTTCAAAGTACAATATCCAAGTTGTTATTTGCTGTAAATTCAATTGAAAATACCCACTTACGTCAACTTGACAGCTTGAAGTTTATATTGACAGCTGTCATATACATTTATAAGACTGTGAAATGACAGCTGTCATTTGAAATAAAGCCATTTATTAATTGAAAACACCCACTAACGTCAACTTGACAGCTGTCATATACATTTATAAGACTGTGAAATGACAGCTATCATTTGAAATAAAGCCATTTATTAATAGAAAACACCCACTAACGTCAACTTGACAGCTGTGATATACATTTATAAGACTGTGAAATAACAGCTGTCATTTGAAATAAAGCCATTTATTAATTGAAAACACCCACTAACGTCAACTTGACAGCTGTCATATACATTTATAAGAACAGCTGTCATAAAGTCATTTAATTATAAGCACTCGATATAAAAATATCCATGTGCTTTCGTTTATATTACTTCTTTAACTGTAAATTAAAATATGTTCCGGCAGATCGTTTCGATGTTTGTTTGAGGAATTTCGAGCGTTGAAGTATCACTGCACAAATAGAATATGATTTATGCGTGAGGCGAAGTGCAGAATTGGTACGGACATTTGGTAAATATTTTCCTCGCGGTTGGCACTGGCCGTAGTAAACCTTCTTTTCAAATAATTAAATTTCGCGGAGAACGATTCGCACTTCATTAGGTGAGCGCCGACGTGAAGGAAGGCAAACAAACACAGTAATAATAATAATAATAGGAATAATATTTGTATTCGGAAAATTCGCTTCATTTCGTTTCTACTTTACGTTGTTTTATATAAAATTCTCATCGACGTGCCGCGAAAGTTTACTTTAACGAAAGTTCGTGGAGAAATCCATAATGAGCAATTTATTTATATATAGAAGAAGTTTCAATTCTGTTACGTTGTTAGCTGTTAATTTGAGCACGTCTTTTAAAGTTTATCCATTAAAAGGTGATCAAATTAAATTTAAAAAAATGACAGCTGTCAAATGTGTCAATTATTATTGTGACAAGTATCATTGTAAAGATGTCATTGCAATAAACTGTATTTAAATCCACTTGACATTCGTTAAAATAAAATTAGGGTTAAATTCAATGTACAAAAAAAAACTAATAGGAAAAACAAAAGGACTAAAGTCAAATTAATGGTCGGCTGTGCTTATCCGGAGGGGAATCCAAGCTGAGATTTGAAAAATGGCGCGGTTTTGCAGCTGCGATAAATCGGATCGGAGGGGGCGACGAAAAAAATCCAAACAAATTAATCTACCCTTGGATACAATGCAAAAAAAAACACTCTCATACAAATGAACGCCGGTTTTCCGGAAAGAGGCGTCGTTCAATTTAATTGCAGCCATTCGCAATTATGACAAGAGAGAATCTATTATATTTTCGTTGCTAAGATACAAATGAAACTGCGATTTTGCGAATGTTATTTTGTCCCGAAAAAAAAATTTGCATGCATTTCGGCCAAAGACAAACAGCCGAACACTTTCCGACGCATTTGCATTTTAATCGAATACAAATATAATTTTCCGGCAACGGAAAAACCTGCGAAATTTCATTAGCCTGTTTCGTTTTTTTTCCTTCACATTTCTTCTCCGTCTTTCCGTGATTTTCTTCTCTTTTATCCAATTAAAATTAATTAACTGAAAAGCTTTTTAATTGTTATCTTTTTTTCTTTAAGTTTTCCGGCTATTCTCTCCTCCCATTGTTGTTTGCTTTTAATCTAATTAACTAAGTCTAAGTTTTACATTTTAAATGCAATCAACGAAATTGCCAATTCATTTATTTTATGAACTAAAGATTGAAATAGTTTTAGAAATGGATGAAAAATCTTACCTGAAGAATTTTGCATCTGTTATTCAGGCAGTCTTCGTCCATGCAGGGCTGATACATCCCCAACGTCACGCAATTCAGAAGAATCACGATCATCGATATCCGCTCGAACCATGTAAGTTTCAGTTAAGGAAAACATAACTATTTGCTAATTAAATTTAAATTTCTAACATTAAAATTGTAAAAAATCAAATTATTTACAAAACGTGTTACTGGAAATTTCTAATTTTTACCTTGAAAAAATTAAAGAAAAAATTAATGTAAAAAAAAAAGATATTGTGACTTTGTTTGTAAGTTTTTCGTGTAAGAAGTGTAGAAAATCTGAAACAAAGAGAAAATAAAACACATTAGATTTTAGTAATTTTTAAAGCAGTTTTATAATGAAAGAAATTAATGAAATTGAATAAACTATAATCTTTGAAATTTGAAAAAATCCATATTTTAATGCTATTTTTTTTTAATCATAAATCAATAAACTGAAGTTATTACATACATCAACATTTTTGTATAAAACGTATAATTTATTTTTTTTGTGTTAATATTTCAATTATAATTTTATGCACGTTTTCTCTTCTCCACGCTAGAAAAATATCATTCCTTTTTAGCATGGAAACGTCGTTTCCCGTGCACGAATTTTCATTATTAAAATATTCATGCAGCAAAGTTGTTTTTTAATCGTCGCAATAAAAATTGCATGTGCACCGAAAATACGCTCAAAGCTTCGTTTATTTTTTTTGTTTCAAATAGAAACAAAGAACGTAGAGTACGAAATAAATGAATCATTTCCGTTTATATTGCATAAATGTATTCATTCCATGCATAATTTTAAATACAAATCTAAATTTATATTATAATTATGTAAAAAGATTTTTTTGTATAAATGAAATGTAAATGTTTATTTGGTTTGTAATAATAGATAAATGTATCTTATTTAACATAATTTGCATGTAGTTTCATTGAAAAAGATAAATTTTATATTAAAAATACTTAAAAATTGTTCAAGTAGTTAAAATTTAGCAAATGATATGTAAAATATGAAATACTTGTGATTAGATGAGATGTGCTTCAAGAAAGTTAGTTCTCTCGAAAGATAAGTACTCGTAAAGATACACAGAAGCCAAATTGTAAAAGTTGCAGACGTGTTATGAGATGTGTGTGTGTGTTTTCTGTGAGTCCGCTTTTCCGACAGTTTCCACGGAGTTTTGGGGGGCAGACGCGTAATCATCGAGATTGAGGAAGTTCGTTGGAAGTGCTTCCATCTATATCCGATGGAGAGCTTAAGACAATTATAGAGAAGAGCGCGAAGGAATTGAGTAAGTTTTCGCATCGCTCCGATATTATACGCCTATAAAAGCAGCAGCAGACCGGAGAGCGTTTCCGTGGCCTCGAGTTTCGTGGCGACTTCCGGTCTCGCTTCGCCTACTTTAATCAGCGACGGTCTGGTTTTCCGCATAATCCGGATTATTTTCGCTCGCACAGAGATTCATTACGCGAAAGAGAGGAAAACGTACTTACACGTCCGAAAAGCAACCCCCAATACCCGCGACATTGCGCGCTTTAATTACTGCAGTTAATTGCGAACCGTGTAAGTCCCGCCAGATGGGGCTGTTTCTTTATGAGTATGCATATATGTATTCGCATGTGTATGCAGATGTGTTCGACCGAAACCGAAAAAGAAACACACTTTAAACTGTGCTCAAAAGCAACCCCGTTTTCCTCATCGCGCTTAATTTACGAACTTGTACACAAATATTCCGTTTTCCGTATAATTTTCGCTTTAATCTTCAAAGCTATACGTTTTATAGACTAAATTCTACATTTCATATATACGCAACATTTGCAAAAAAAAAAGTTTGAAAACTTATCCAAACAAAACTACTTAGATCTAAAGTTATATAAACTTTTCTTATAATATTGAACAGAAAGTGAAAAATTGAGTCAAATCGAAAAAGAAACACGTTAAACGGTGCTCAAAAGCAACCCCGTTTTCCTCATCGCGCTTAATTTACGAACTTGTACACAAATATTGCGTTTTCCGTATAATTTTCTCTTTAATCTTCAAAGCTATACGTTTTATAGACTAAATTCTACATTTCACATATACGCAACATTTGCAAAAACAAAAGTTTGAAAACTTATCCAAACAAAACTACTTAGATCTAAAGTTATATAAACTTTTCTTATAATATTGAACAGAAAGTGAAAAATTGAGTCAAATCGAAAAAGAAACACGTTAAACGGTGCTCAAAAGCAACCCCGTTTTCCTCATCGGCTAATTTACGAACTTGTACACAAATATTGCGTTTTCCGTATAATTTTCTCTTTAATCTTCAAAGCTATACGTTTTATAGACTAAATTCTACATTTCACATATACGCAACATTTGCAAAAACAAATGTTTGAAATCTTATCCAAACAAAACTACTTAGATCTAAAGTTACATAAACTTTTTTTTATAATATTGACTTTATTGAACAGAAAGTGAAAAATTGAGTAAAATATAATTATAGAAATTAAGTTTTCCGCTGTTCTTAATAGGATTTTGAGCCAATCAAATTTGGCAATAACAAACAACAAAGAAAAACACCGATCGCGTTGATGAAATTTCGAGGACGTCGGTAATCGAATTACGTAAAGTTTTCACCCTCAAAACCCAAATCGGTGCGTTTGATCTTTGCCTTCCAAATTCCGATCGACAGAGAGAATGAGAAAGGTATTTGCGTTGTTCCTGCAGCTGAACTTAATTAGGACGAAAAAACGGAAGGGTGCAGAGTCAAGACTATCATCCCTCAGTAGGCCAACAAGTGTCCCCTAAATCCACAACCTTCTTCCTCTTTTATCCGTGCGGATTAAATTAATCCTGATGCCGTGCCTTTGTTGCGTGCGTCTTAACGTTATCTCGCGCCAACAGGTGACTTGACTTGACTATGTTACAAGTATAAAAAGTTACATTTCCTCCTTGCAAATTCGAAAATCCATTTACATTTCGCCAAAATGTAATCCTCATACCGCAGCAGCAGCTACGCAGCTGCGTTGTTCACGCTCGCAGCACGAGTACAATCGTAATTATGGTAAGCGAGTAACGGATTCCGGGTATTCAGACGTTTTTGGCGTTTAACCGCGAACAATGGTGGAGGGTGGTTTTTGGACGTCGAAAGCACTTAGATAGTGCCGCATTTGAATGGTGATTAACGCAAGAAACTAATGAAATCATTTGCTCGGTCATTCGAGCTTATGCGGATTAACGACTCTTTTGTTACATGAGAAAAAAACATTTAATAGGATCAATTTATGCAATTTTTCTTGTTAAAACAAGCTATAAAAGTCAATGTGTTTCAAATATGACAGCTCATTGACACGTACATAATTTATGGTATATTTCCAAATTGTGGCAATGAATAATGCAGAGAATATTTCATATACATTTCGTTTAAATTCTGTCATATTTAAGTCATTTTTGACTAAAATATCTAATAAAAATAACTGTCAAATGTGACAAGTCAAGTGACATATCTTTGACAGTTAATAAACAATATACAGAATATGACATAAAATTGACATTGACAGTTAAATAAACAATATTTCTATATGTTGCTGATAGGTGGTTTGCGTTGATAATGAAAGAACAATTTGTTTCAATGAATAATGCAGAGAATATTTCATATATATTTCGTTCAAATTCTGTACGTTTCATAAAATGTCATATTTATGTCATTTTTGACTGAAATATCTAATAAAAATAACTGTTAAATTTGACAAGACAGTTAAATAAACAATATTTCTATATGTTGCTGATAGGTGGTTTGGGTTGATAATGAAAGAACAATTTGTTTTAATTAATAATGCAGAGAATATTCCATATATATTTCGTTCAAATTCTGTACGTTTCATAAAATGTCATATTTATGTCATTTTTGACTGAAATATCTAACAAAAATAACTGTCAAATTTGACAAGTCAAGTGACATATATTTGACAGTTAATAAATAGTATACAAAATATGACATAAAATTGACATTGACAGTTAAATAAACAATATTTCTATATGTTGCTGATAGGTGCTTTGTGTTGATTATGAAAGAACAATTTGTTTCAATGAATAATGCACAGAATATTTTATATATATTTCGTTCAAATTCTGTACGTTTCATAAAATGTCATATTTATATCATTTTTGACTGATATATCTAATCAAAATATCTGTCAAATTTGACAAGTTAAGTGACATATCTTTGACAGTTAATAAATAATATACAGAATATGACATAAAATTGACATTGACAGTTAAATAAACAATATTTATATATGTTGCTCTTGTTATGATAGGTGGTCTGTGCTATTACATATTGCTACTTAGCTGTTACTTAACGGCGTGTGTTGGTGTGATTGATTGGTTGCAGCAAGACGACTTTTATTACCATTCTAACAGTTGCTATTGGTATTCTATATGCTAATTAGATTACAATAATTAGATCTAAATGTATGCTGGGACTTATATAATAATTAAATAATGCGGGGGGGGGAGGGTTATATAGTGTTTGTCTTTGTTCTTCGAAACATCTGAGTTATTATTTGATGCGGCAGCATTCCGGTCGACAATGGGACAGGGCCGAAAGGGATATATATTCCATCAATGCGGTGTTCCACCTCGCCGGGCGATGAATGCAAATTAATCGCATTCACTTGCCTGAAACTGAAATTGATCGAAGCCAGAGGCGATTTTGTGCGAAAAGCCCTTGCAGGACATCATTACCAATATTAAATGTACATGTCATCAAGTCGTTTACTTCGTCTACATTCAAATTGGCAAGTATCGAATTAGGACTTGGCAAGTACGAAACGTTTGCTAAATATATGTGCAAGTAGCCTATAAATTTGATAAGAATACAATTTACTTGGCAAGTATCAAGTATTTGATGACTGTTCGCATAAGCGAAGTATCTTGTGTAAAATACAGGGCGAATATATCCGCCACTCGTCTGCAATTTGTGTTATTAGAGCCACTTATGAATATTTAACTACATTTTTTTTATTAATTAGCGAAATTATTCGGAAAATGTGCTTTTCATGAATTATGTAAATAGAATTAATTACTGAGTTTAGCTTTATG